AATTAATATTCCATCTAAATTACACAGAACAAAGTTATTATTTCGTCCGAAAGTATCGCGGACGAATTTTGCACAATCCTCTCCCCTGCACAGGCTGATTGCGGTTTGTAACCAAATAGACCAAAATGAGAACTGTGAGGTAGACATTTTAGCTTATAATCAGCCACTGACTTCAGGTGTGTTGGCTTCCATGATAACTCAGTACCGCTAGGCATTTATTTATTTATTTATTTATTAAGCACTTATTAAGCCAGAGAAATTCTCTTTAACTTTTTCTTTAATTACTTTAATTTCTTTAATTTCATCTTCAAGATGTGCTTAGGGATGCACTGTATATGATTAATCATAAATTAACTAGATTAAGTGAACTAGATATATGTATAATACTTGATTAATTATTGTGTAAAATATTAGACCTAATTCTAAATTCTTACTAGCTTACATAGTATCTCAATTTATTAATTAGCTCTTTTAAGCTAAATTTCAATATGGGAATAGCTGTCCATAATATTGTCATATGAATTAATTAATCAATCTGCGTTATATTCTATTGCTTTCACTCTACCCTATGTAATATTTAATATACTACTGCACATATGTAAAATTATATGTATTAATGACCCTGTTATTGGCCTTCAGGCTGTTGGGTCTGTATTAAATAAATAAATAAATAAATAAAGATCGCGGGAGTGGGTGTTAACAATAAAAAATGTTCATTTCCAAAATATAGCTTATAAAAACTCTAAATTTCGTAGAAATCTTTTATTTCTTCTGTAAAGATCATCTCAAAATGGATTTCAATAAAGTTTATTTCCGATAGGAATTGCGGCGGTGGGTGTTAAAATCTAAAATTTTCGTTTCCAAACTGTAACTTCGACAGACTTTAAATTTGGTGAGAGTCTTCGTGTATCATGTCAAGTTCAGCTAAGAATGAATTTTATCAAATTCCAACCCCAAAAGGGACTGCTAAGGCGTTAACAATGAAAGTCTCTCTTTTCAAAACAATAGTTTCTATGGGCTCAAAGTTTTGTTGGAATATTTTATTTATAATGTAAAAATCATCTCAAATAGGATCTTACGAAATTTCTCTCTCACAAAGGAGTGTGGGAGTGATAGTTGTCAAAAAATTCATATTCTTCAAATATATTTTCTACAGATATAAAATTTCATAGTATCTCAAGAGAAACAGGTAATTATAGGGATGGCCTCCAAGGTCAATAATTATATTTTCTTACAACAATCGTCTCTTTGGCAGCGGCGAAAGTCATTGTAAGATTTCTAAAGTTTAACTTTACATGTAGCTATATAATCAACGGACTGAGTATTTTGCATACATTTCATTTTTGCTGATCACATAACCGATGAATTGTTCTTATTACGGGATCACGGGAATGTAACAGATTAAAATAAATACATTTTCTGAACACTTGAGATGTGGAAAAGAAATTTGGCTACTCATTTTAAGAGATTTCGTTAAATCAAATATTAAAATCGTAAATCCAAAAATTTTATTTTTGGAGAACGCCACGGGAATGTTATAGTGATTACACATTGAAAGTTACAATGGATATTCGCTAGAATGATGACATGGATAAAAGGTTCAGGCCAATCCAATAGAATTTGGAATCTGTGCAAGTCAAAACAATACTCCGATTGAATTTCAAGTCTAGATCTCAAAATACAATTCTACACAGAAAGAATAGTTCACTTGAACCAAGAAAATATTTTTCTTCATAATTATTTTCTTGGGCGAAAAAAAAATTTTTTTTTGATACAAGAAATTTCACTTATCTCAACAAAATTAATTCTCTTGCTTCAAGAAATACGTATCTTGATCCAAGACAATTTATTTCAATCAAGAAAATTTTCTTGTTTTGAGAAAATTTTTCTCTTGCTCCAAAAAATTAAGTTCTTGACAGAAGTAAATTTTCTTGTCTTGAGAAAATTTTTCTCTTGCTCCAAAAAATTAAATATCTCGATTATATATTTTCATTAATATTTTTATTGACGAACATGTCAAATGGGAAGATCAAATAATATTGAACCATTTTCTTTCATTCAATATGTATAATTGCGTGCTAAAATAATCTAAAATGGGTATCAAATATTCAAGAGAAAAATTTTCTCAGCTGAAGTAGGTGGCACTGCTTCCCTAAAGTACCTAAAAATCTTGATCCAATATAAAAATTTATTGTATCAAGTATTTATGATAATTTGAATTAAGAAAAATTACTTCCACCAAGAATAAAATTTCAAGAAAAATTTTTACTTCGGCCAAGAAAACTTCGGTCTTCTTTCGGGCACCCGAAAATTTACTTGAGCCAAGAATTTTATTCTTCAGTCAAGAAATCTTTTTTTCTGTGTATAAAGTGCCCAGCGGAGCGGGCGGGTAACAGCTAGTTATATATAATTGCACATAATCTTTTTTACCCGGGAAGTAACCCCTGAAAAAGTAAAAAAACATTTTTTCTGTGAATTAAAAATAAGTTTGGAAATAATAAAATTCTTAACAACAATTGTGCCAGAAAAACTCTTCAGCCTCATGACAAAAAGTTATTAAAAAATTATTCTTTTAATTAAAAATTATTATTAGTTCAGATTTTATGAATTTTTTTAAAGTGCAAGGAATTCAAATTTAATTCTACACGTAAAAAAGAAAGAGAAAAATTACATTATATAATGCAACGTGGCGCTTCATATAAAAAACTGGAAAAATTACAGTTTCAAATTGTAATTATTACATATTTTGTAAGAATTACATTGTAAAATGTAAATACAGTCAACGCTCTCTGTATTTGACTCGCCCGTACAGGACCATTCTCTGTATTTGACTCGTCCTTGTCCATAAGAGCTGTGTAAAATCGTCAAATACAGAGGAAGAATGTGGTCAAATACAGAGAGCGGTCAAATTCAGAGAGGTTCAATACAGAGAGCGTCGACTGTATTACATTGAAAGTTCTGAAAATTAACATTCAAAGTTTGAACTTATAAAAATGTTATTTCGAACTGCAATTTTTCTAGTTTTTTATATGAAGCGACGCACTTAATACTATTTATAATGTAATTTTTCTCTTTTTCTTTTCTTTTTTCCGTGTAATCATGTAAATACACAGAAAAAAAAAACTTCTTACACCAAGAAAATTTTAAAGAAGACAAAAGTTATTTTGGAGCAAGAAGAAATTTTCTTGGCTTAAGAAACTTTGACTTCATTCAAGGAATTTTTAATCTTCCTTAACATTTTCTTGAGACAAGAAAATTTACCCTCCAGTCAAGAATTTTTTTTTCAGTGTAGTAAGGGGCCATTCATTAATTACGTAAGGACAATTTTGGTCAATTTTTACCCCCCCTACCCCCATGTAAGTATACGTAAGATTTCTCGAAACCCCCCTTCCCCTTTCTTACGTAAGATTCTATCTTGATCTTCTAAATAATAAACTTTTATGTTAGAAAAGGATCAGTTTCACTAAAACTTACAGTTCAACGTGGATCCATAATTTTTATTTTTTAACAAGGAATAATTTAAATAATATTAGCAAAGATAAATCAGTAAAACTACAAACTCATAACATTGTTCATAAAATAATATTTGACTAGTTTTAAATTAGTCTAAAAAACATAAATTAAATAGTTAAAGCTAGATGAATTAAAATTATTAATCTTCATCCGAACTAAACGGACTTTTAATCCATGTCATCCAATCAGAGACAATTGGTAGCTCATCAGATGTAATGGTAGATGAAAATGTTTTTTTATTTTTTAAATAATAATAAAAAAATGATAATACGCGGAAAAATGTACTATAATTTTTTCTATAGAACCAAACATGGATAACAATGAAAACATATAAAATTTTAATGTTATTTTTTACTTTTTTCAATAAGCAACAAAATTATTTAAATAATATAAAAATTCCACTGTACACTTTAAAATTAAGAAAACAATTTGGAATCTGAAATGGAAAAATTTTTAATCTTGAATTTTGATTCACGAAATATTACGTAAGAATGAATTTTACCTCCCCTCCCCCCAACGTAAGAACTTGAAGAGATTTTCTTAACCCCCCCTCCCCCTCAATACCCTTACGTAATTAATGAATGGCCCCTAACCTACAGTCAGTATGCGACTTAATTAATTTGGCTTAATAATTTTTTGATATTCATAATCACACTTGACATAGTTTAGGTACGTTTTAAAAAACATTTTACAAATAATACTGCTATCATAGGATCAACTATAAATAATTTAATGAAAAAATATGACGAAACAAATTTATAGAACCAGCAAACTATTCAAAACTCCTCCAAAAACTTGAAATAAAGAATTGACTATCGCTGAAAAATATGTAAAACCGAGAAAAAGCACAAATTCTAATCAAGGCTTTTCTGATGATACAAAATTTAACTATAAAAATTTCTTTCAAAATAATAATATGCTCGTCACGAAATTTTCCTTACTGTTTTAATTTTCTAAATCACAAATGACTATTGCTGAAAAAATATCAAACAAATTTAAAAATCTTATTTTATTATATAAATATGCTGGAGATAAAGTTTTCCTTATTTTCTCCATTATATAGATTATGTATATGTTGCGGAAAAAAAATTTTTGCTTCATTTTTTTTTTTAATTTTAGACTTCAGAACGTTATTAAAATCTATTGTTAAATATATAAAAGCTTTTTGGAAGAAAAAAATTTCTGGGGTACTCCATTTGCCGCTCCTCTCCTCCCCTACGACAATTTTTCAAATTAAAATACAGTTTTTCAAAAATTAGTTAAAAGTGTAGAAAATTTTATTGTCTCTTCAATTATAATGAATAATTATACTCTTTAATAATCTAAGAAATAGTTCTTTTATTTACTCTACTTTACCAAAAAAAGTAAATGGAAAAATTATTTTATTTAAACAAGTTTTCCTAATAAATCATTATTTTTCTAATTTTATCTGTTTTCTTATATAATAAATTGGAAAGTAAACTATTAAATAATTTTTTATTTCATAGTATGCAATATTTTTCAATTATTTGCAAGACACCAGAACAATTATCGTTCGTAAGATCATTCACCGATAACCCTATTATCGTTGTTTTAAAACTAACGCACATTCTTGGCGAATCAATTGACATTCTGATAACTGCTGAAGAATTATCACAATTTAAAGATGCCTTATCTTTACAAAATATTGATTACACTATAATCATCGAGGATGTTGAACATGCTGTTCAACAAGAAGCCTTACAGAATAGAGTCGCTCGCTTGAAATCATCTCGTACTTGGTCCAACAAACAGTCACTCGAGCCTTTCAATTATTACGCTCGTTATTACGAGGCAAGTATCGAATAAAAAATAATAAAATAAGATTAATAAATAACCAAATAAATACTGTTTACAGATTGAAGAATATATAACATTGTTAGCAAAAAATTACAGTAAAATCGTAACTCTTCAAAAAATAGGTAGTTCGTATGAAAATCGAACAATTTATGTTGTAAAAATATCTTCTGGTGGAAAAAATAAGCCACAAATTCTTATTGATGCGGGAATTCATGCTCGAGAATGGATAGCACCATCAACAGCTTTGTATTTGGTACATCAACTAGTTACCAATCAAAGCAATGCTTACCTCTATAAAAATGTTGACTGGCTAATTATACCAAGTTTAAATCCTGATGGTTATGAGTATACTCATTCGACTGTATGTTTTTCAATAATAAATATTTTTTTAATGACTAAATCTAGGAAATTTTACCTTACTCAAAAAAATTAAACAGTTGAAAACTTTTCAACTTTTAATCGGTAAAGCTCCAAATTTCCAAATTATTATTCATGTTACATCTATTATTGAAATTAAGGGGAATAGCCACTGTGACGGTCAAAAAATAAGTGATTTTCGGGAATTTTTTTTACTCGGAAAACAAAAATTTCGGGATCAGGTTTTTTTTTGTTTTATTTAATGTATATTGAAGATTAGTATCCTAAATTTTCACTAAGAAATATTAAATTGTTAAAAAAGTTATTAACATTCTTGTTCAGCCTCAAAAAAAATTCCCCCTCCATGGATGAATATTAAACTAAATAATTTTCAATATTCATGATAAAGTAAAATTTTTCTTTTCAAATATTGATAGTACTTAAAGAATTAATGCAACATCTATCCATTTTTCCTGAAGAACAAACAGAAGATTTCAAAAATATATTTTATAGAAAACCTTATGAATACTATTTCTATTAAAAATAAAAATTTACTTACAAAAAAATTCATAACTTTTAATGCTTTTAGCACGTACAAGTCCAGGAACGTATGGCTGGAATGTTCCACCAAAACAATCGCAACCCGTAAACTCAAAACCATCAGCACCCTCAGAAACAATCTCAAAAACCAGTGCCACGAACGTGCAATCCAGTTGGAAGCCATCTGGTGGCTATAATTCACAAACAGGAACGCCATACGCCAATTCAGGACACACTACCGGACAGCGTAACCCGAACCAAGGTTACAACCCATCAGTAGGTTCAAACCAACACACTCCTTACCAAAGTATCCACTACAATCCTAGTCATAGTCAACAGAGTCCTGGAGGTTACAACGGATATAATTCCCCTGGTTATAATCCATCTTCAGGATATAATCCATCGTACAATCAGCCTCATCAGCCATACAATCCGTACAATCCATCCTACGGGCACTCATACACTCCAGGAGCTGGGTACAATCCACCAGTTGGTCATGCTCCTCAAACAATATTGGTTCAGTCTGCTGGGCAGCCTTACAAACCAGGAATCGGTCAGTTAGCTAAAGAAGCATTCGTATTTGCTGGGGTAAGTGCTGGTGTCAATGCAGTAGCAAACAGAATCATTCCTGGTGGAATTTACGGTGGTCATGGACATTCCGGATATTCTGGAACTGCTGGAAACCCAGCTGTTCCAGCTGTCACGCACACACAAATAACCTACAACAATTACTACAACAATGGCACTGCTCCTGAAGGACAAGGTCCTGCTGCAGCTCCAGTTCCAGGAGCTGCAGCACCAGCTCAAGCCCCAGCTGTAGCAGCTCCAGCTCAAGCTCCAGTTGAAGCAGCTCCAGCTCCACCTCCAGTGACGCCAATCGAATCAAATCCAAATCCTCAGAATAATTCTAGTGCTCCAGCCGCAAATTCTCCGAAGAATGAAGATGAAATGTTTCCAAGTCCCAATGGTAATATAATCACTAAAAATGAAATAGAAAAATTAACCGAAGAATTGTTTGCTATGGATAAAAATAATGCGTTCAAATTTATTACCATGAATCTGCAAGGACAAAAGATGGATGACAGTACGAAAGATGACGCTAGTGAGCCTCTTTTGACTGTTAAAAGTGAAGCTTATGAAATACCAACTGTTAAAGCCACTATTGCACTTCACGATAATTATGAATTGGATATTAAAACAAAAGAAGATGTTACTTCAGAAGAAAGAAAAGAAGAAAGTGACTTTATTGATTCTATTCTTGAAACAGATATTATGAAAACGTTGATGAAATTTTTAGCAGATAAAGGATATGTTATAAACGATGAGTACGAATTTAAAGATACTTTGAAGAGAATTTGGTTTTCACAGTTTAAAAGAATTGACGGAGAACCTGGCAGCTCTGGGTTTGAAACAATATTTTTGGCGGAGAAGTTTGACTCGGAAATTATTGGTATGCACAATTGGATTTACTATGCTAAGCGTGAAGAAGACAAAAAGTTGAACTATCTTGGCTATATTAAACAGACTACACTTGGAGATGTATGTAAATTTTTTGTTTATTTTTAGAAAGGTAAATATTGTCATAATAATTATTAATTTATTATATTGCAGAAAGGAGCAATCATTAAATTACGATCCAGTTTAGAAGATATTGTTCAACCCGTGACAACTATATTCGTCGGTACATCACCAGAGTTGGAAATTGCTCTCTACACAATGTGCTTTTACACGCGTCCTAATTATGCCTGTCCAATCAAATTAGCTAATCAAAATTTCATAATAATCGCTAACCGAGTTAATTACTTCGGTAAAGATATCATGGTATCCGCCTACCCAGAAATTTAAATTAACTTATTCAAATCTATTAATTAAGCCCTCATATTTTTTTTATAATCAATATTATTTTAGAAAAAAAATACTCTATAATCATGTATTTTATATTATCGTATATTACAAAGTATTATTGTAGAACTATATTTAGATTTATAATAATCAATTTGTATATTTTATTATTTAGTACTGTTATAGAAATGTTATTTGTTGAATGTTAATAGTGGAATTATTACTGGTCTGCCGTGTGCACAACGATTAGGTAGATCTGTTTGTATCCAATAATTCAATAAATCATTGCATTGATTTATATTTAATGGATCTCCGAATTTTATCGCACCTAAATAGATGTCAAATAAAATTTATTTAATAGATGCAATAAATTTTCTTCAAACATTATGAGTTATTAAATTATAAGTAAAGTAAAAATATTCATTAATTAATAGAAAAGAGTGCATTATTACCATGACAAGCCTCTGATGCAATTACATTATGTATAGTTGACGGCAATGTATTGATTCCAATTTTATTAATTAACTTTTCCGCTACTTCCATCAAAAGTTTTGCCGTTAGTTCTATCACATAAGTCTCATTATAAATTTTTTTGAATAAAAAACATTTTGGCACAGAAGTTATTATTAACGAAAAATAATCAGAATTATCACTATTTCTCTCATCATCTAGACTTGAATTTATAATATTTAATCCAAATTTTTTTAAGACCTCACGTTTACGTAATAATAAATCGTAATTACTTCTTGGTACATTGTTTATTTTTATTGGACGCTTCAAAGTTACTGATATGAATTTATTTTCATATTTATAATCTGAAATAACAATAGACAATTAATACACAATTGCAATGTTGTAATAAGAAATTAATTTGTTGAAAATTTTAAAGAATTTTATTTCTTAGCTGAAGAAATAAAAATTTTTGTCACAGAGTAACTTTCTTGGTGAAAAAGTTTTTTTGATTTGGAAAAAAACAATTTTAGATAAACAACTTGCGAATTTTTATCCAAAATTTGTTTCCTAAATTCTAGAAAACTTTTTTCCTCAAGAAAGTTACTGTGAGAAAAATTTTTACTTCTACAGCGAAGAAATAAAATTGTTTAAAATTTTCACCAGATTAATTTCTTATTAAAAGATTGCCCATTTTTTTCAAAAGAAATTTTTTTTCTCAGTGTAGAATTGACGAATAGTTATAAATATTTTTTACTAATTCATTACTAATATATATCAAGTACGGGACTAATTCATAAAATTTTCTACAAATATAAAAGATAATTTAAATATAAAGCAGAGTTCAACAATATTTTTATAAAATTTCTAAAGAACTAATACTTTTTACATGCGTTGTACATAAATCTGACAACAATTAATAAAATAATCTTTAATAGACATTACTTACCTTCCAAAAGATTTTCATAACGAATACGTTCATCCATAGCATGTTGATCAATCAATATTAGTATTTTTTCCTTATTTTGTTCAACAATACCTGCAATATACTCGACGTTAACTTGCCTCAATACCTAAAATAAATATATTATTTTTTAATCAATCAATAATACTTAAATCTTTTACAGAAATAAGCGTCGAAATTACATCTTTCATCTTACCTTGATGTGTTTCAATGAATTTTTATCAATAGTTATTTCAGATAATTTTTTTTTATTTTTACAAATTCTTACATCATATACATTTTCTAGATAACCTGAATCAAAATTAAAGAAACATTTTTTATCGAATTGATTACTTGATTGACGAGGAAATAAGCGTTTTTCCGCCGTTCTTAACACTTTGTTTAATTTTTCCGGTAAAAAACTGTACTTTCTTCTTTTGGGATTATAATTATAATCATTGTTAGTATTATTATTTAAACGTTCAAGGGGTGAAATCCAGTCAGACCATTCACCACTAATATTAGACATTGGAGTACTAATATCATCACAGGTAATATCATTATCGTAATTATTCCGAATTTTTAATTGATTATCTCTGGAAAAAGGTGTAGTATTTTTATTTATACTCATTTCTTTATTGTTTTTTTCTTGCTTATGAAACAACACATTCATTATTTCATTAACGCTATTTTTATGATTAATACTATCTAATTCCAGATTGAATAAATTGGCTGGAGAATATTTTAATTTTTTAACAATCGAGTTTGGTTGTAATTGATTGCAGTACTTTCTTTTTATACCAACATTTAATTTTTGTCCTATGTCATCACGAATAGTGAATGAGACCTAAAACATACAATTTTTGTAATTAATACACAAAAGATTGTCTTTATAAAGCTTTATGTTAGTTTCATCAAATTTCAAGTCATTACTTTTGATTAAAATGCAATTATAGACTCGTCTATTTAATTTAGAGAAAAATAAAAATTTTACTTCCGGAGTATTTATGTAATAAAATAAGTTTTAAATTAAATTTAGTATCAGTGGAAAGGTCTTGACCTGAATTTGTGCCTTTTCAATGTTTCATATGTTTTTCAGCAATAATTAATTTATTATGATAAATTTTCGAAGTATTGTTAAATCGATTTAAATTTCGCGATAAAAGTAATTTGTTTATTTTTTTATTTTGTTTTGCACATGTGAATGTGGTTTTAAGTCGAAAATTAATTTATATAATTAAGAGATTAAGAAAAATTCTTATATCTTCATCGTAAATTGGGTTTGATATTTTTCCAGCGATAGTCATTTATGATTTAGAAAATTGAGAAAGTAAGAAAAATTTTGTGACGGGCATATTATTATTTTTAAAGGAATTTTTATAGTTAAATTTTGTATCATCAGAAAAGTCTTGATAAGAATTTGTGGCTTTTCACACAGTTTTATACATTTTTCAGTGATAGTCAATTTTTTATGTTAAGTTTTTGGAGAAGTTTTCAATAGTTTTTTGGTTCTATAAATTTGTTCCGTCACATTTGTTTATTAAATTATTTGGAATTGATCCTGTGATAGCACTATTATTTTTTAAATTTATTTAAAAAGTACCCAAACTATGTATAATGTTTATGAATATCAACAAATCATTAAACCAAAGTTTTATTATTCATAATCCGAAAATCTCGGCAGTCACATTGTGACTGCAGATTGTTAGTTTCTATTAAATATAAGAACACAATTATTTACATATGCAGATTACAACAAAATAAATAAGTGTATTAATGAATAAAAAGACAAAGTGATTCACCTGAGGATAATCCAAAGCATAATCTTCGACTATTTCTATAATATTCTGCCTATTCAAAAAATCTCCGAATGTGCTGTCATTGAAATAAACTATCACAGTTGTACCATGAAGTGGACGATCTAAAATTTTTTGGACATTTAATGTATGACCAAATTGCAAAACCTGCTTATAAAATAAATAATACATGAATGAAGAATGCATATGAACATGACGACTGTCAATTTTTTTAATTTGTATAACAAATCAATTACAATAAAAAAAAAAATTCTTGTAAGAATTTCCACTATTAATTTTCACACGTGGAATTTTTTAATTAAATTATTTTTTACAATAATTTCATTGCTATAAAATTGTAAAAAAATTTCTAATCTATCAACTTCAGTGTCATGATCAAACATTAAATTTGATTTTAAAATATCTCAAAAAAATGATACGAATTTCCATCATACATAAAAAGCACACCACGGTATCATTAAGAAAGTTTGTAAAAACATAAAATTTTCGATGCAAAATTCGTATCACTTCTTATGTGTAATGTTTTGAATAAGTTTTTTTCATACTTTTCCATAAGAACACTGTGAATTTTTAGGTTTCGTCATAATAACTACTACGGGCAGTTGATGTATATGCTTAAAGATATTATCATTCATTTTTTGATAATTGACTCCGATTCCTTCCAATTTTTGGAAATCAATTCCATGGCCATTGTCAATTATTTGAATTTTTTTATCATCATTATAAATTCTGATCGCTACGGACGTTGAGGAACCATCCAATGACATTCTAACCTGTAAATTTATAATAATTGGAATTATATTTGCCATCGGATCATTAAAATTTATACATACCAAATCTTTGAAAAAATACTGGCTTTGCGAGTAAGTAGACTTCATTACGTTTAATTATATGAATTTAAAGTATCATCCAAATATTACTTTTACGAAAGACGTGTATACTTTAATTTTACTTACAGAGTTTACGAATGTGAAAAGTGATCAAAATCATAATTAAAATTTGGTAATCGAATATTTCTACCATCTACTGGCAGGATCAATTAATCAGAATTCAAAAGCGCGCGCAAAAAAATCGTCAAAGATCATGTCGTGCGATATCTTCAAAATGTACCAGTCAATTCAGATCGATTCATCAAAGTTTATTTGAAGCATTTCGAAGAAATCTAATTAAACTTCAATGTGACTTATTTTTGGAGTAATTTAATCGAACAGGTTTTAAATTATTACAAAAAATAAAAATAAAGAAAAAATCTGACTGACACAAATAATTTCCAGATTTGTCAAAAATGATATACATTTTTTTTCAACATAAATATAATTAAAATAAACTTTAGATAGGTATTTCATTCTTTTGTGGTAAGTAATTCTTAATTTAAAATAAGAACAATAAAAATAATAAAAAGAACAAAATAAGCGATGATAAAATTGAAAATAGTTTTAATAATATATAAATCTAACGATAAAGTAAAACTAAATTCTTTTCACTTTTATATGTAGAATAAATTGTATTTGCGTTGTTCTCCTTAAATTAAAAAACTCATACATTATCGCGTGTGAGAAGGTGAAAGGGCGCATTGCTGCAGGTTAATATATTATTTCTATAGAGATCCATGCTAAAAAAACGCACAAAAAATTTTTTTTGCAATTTGTGTTAAAATCGTTCAAAACACAAAGATTTGTAAAAAAAAAAAAAATTCGAGGATCCCGAAGCTAAAAGGGCGTATCTCAAAACATGCGCTTTTTTAGTTTTTAGAGAAGTAATGCCTAAAGCTAAAAAGGATCATAAAAAAATTAAAGTTTGAATAATAAAATTTTAACAAATAGTTTGAAAAGACCAGTTAAATCCAAAAAACAGTCTAGTATACAAAGCTGATCAATTGTAAGAGAAAGGAGCAAAACGAAAAAAATTGTTTAGTTTTGCAGTAAATCTGTTTCTGAATATAAAATTTATATTACTAAAATTTTTTTGACCTGCGACACATTTTTAGGTAGATTTCGTAAAAATCTATCTATTGCATTGGACCTTGTGTCGGAATTCACACGGAATTTTGTCATTTTATCTCTTATGTAGTCGAGTAAAGCTCAAAATTAGCATTGGTTCAAAAGTTTATATATATATATATAACGCGGCTTGTGGACACGATAGCGTCTACAATTCTCAACGGATTTAGATGAAACTCGGTACACATATTCTTTGGGTAATTACCTTGAACGAGTTCGAAGATGAGCAAAGTCGATCAATTAGTTTAGAAATGGCAGCCATTTAAAATTTTCAAAATAGTGAAAATCACGTTTTTGGTCACTTCATTGATGTATAACTTTTGATTGAACAGAGATAGCTAATTTTTGAAAAATTCATGTGATAGCTCATGAAATTACCTTTAATTTGACGTATATAACATTGACATTTCAACCATTTTTAGTTATTTTATCAAAGTTAAGAGTGCAACTGAACCATTTTCAGGCAATGTGTACACGGAAAAAAATTAACTGTTGCTGCAACAGGAGGCAGTCATGTTGCAGCAACAGGATTACTACTGTTGTGGCGACTTAATAATAAAATATAGTTGGGTCATTCCATGTCAAATTGACATACAGTTGGAATTGACCCCTTTTGATATGGATAAATTTTGGTCAGAAATTTTCTTTTATCATATAACGAACTTCTGATTATTTCTGATTTTTATTGGAAATTTATATTTGTTTGAGTTATTTGACGTCAAAAACTGTTATTGAAGTGAAGCAACGGACAAAATATATCATGCCTTAAAAAAAATAAAAAATTATATCATGCGTTAAGCCTGACTTTAAGATTACTTCAAAAAAATAAAAAAAAGTTAAAATTATTTTATTATTTAATATTTCCACGTCGTACATTTAATTTTTTAATGCTCAAAATTACAATAATATGTATCTGCATAACTTTACCTTATTTAAAAGTTGCAAAAAACAGGAAAAAATTTTTTTTTGAAATTCAAAAATTCATATTAAAAAAAAAAAAAGTTCTCAAAATTTCAGAGTCTATTAAGATCAGTACAAGGTACTAAATAAATAAAAAAAATTGAGCCAAAATTGTAATGTCAATCGACATTTTTGACGATTTTCAAAAATTTAAGATTAGACAAATTTGGCATTTTTCAAAATATTTTTTTTCGATAGCCCCAAGTTTTCCCTTTCAAACAAACGAAAGGCTATTCCTGTATCTATAATAGCGTTCGCGATATTCCAAAAACAAAATTGAAAAACTGAAAAAATAGCGAAATTTTGAGTTTGCATATCTTTTGAATAAAATTTTTTAATTGTTTTTCTTCTGGCAGAATTTCGTTATATGATAAAAGAAAATTTCTGACCAAAATTTATCCATATCAAAAGGGGTCAATTCCAACTGTAGGTCAATTTGACATGGAATGACCCAACTATATTTTATTATTAAGTCGCCACAACAGTAGTAATCCTGTTGCTACAACAGGACTTTATCCTGTTGCTGCAACATGGCTGCCTCATGTTGCAGCTACAGGAAAATCCTTTTGCTGTAACAGGATTTTTTCCTGTTGCTGCAACAAGAGGCAGTCATGTTGCAGCCTAGTTTAATTAGTTTAGAAATGGCAGCCATTTAAAATTTTCAAAATAGTGAAAATCACGTTTTTGGCCACTTCATTGATGTATAATTTTTGATTGAACAGAGATAACTAATTTTTGAAAAATTCATGTAATTCATGTAATAGCTCATGAAATTACCTTCAATTTGACGTATATACCATTAACATTTTGACCATTTTTAGTTATTTTATCAAAGTTAAGAGTGCAACTGAACCATTTTCAGGCAATGAGTAGTACAACCGACTTATGTACGTCATTCTATCAAGAATTTCATTCAGTGAAATTTACCTTCCATTTCGGGTGTGGCCGAATGGCGTTTTTTTATTTTACTTAAAATTAAATTTAAATTAGAATTTATTCAGCCTATTTGATCACAATGACTATAGTGAATCTAATTCAAGCCAACAGATGGACGTTCCATCTTCTCTTTATTGTTTGAGAGTTTTATTCTCTTCATCACGTTAGTTCGATGGGAATCCATCAAACTTGAATACTAGTAAAGCTGGAAGCTTGTGGTATCTGTTCGAGTTATAAAGATAAAGATGTTAATTAAGTGAAAGATAGTGAAAGAAATTTGAATGAGAGCAAAGATGAACTTTGAAAAAATAAATGGAGTTGGTTGCCAAGCTAGTTCCTGAAAAAATTACTTTCAAAATTAAATAATAAAAAATATGAAAATATCAATTTTTCATTAAAAAAGACATAAAAAAACCCGAAAAATACAGATTTTTTATTTAATTAATATCTTGAATTATAGGTACGCCATAAATCAGAATAATTTTTTAAAATGCTTACACGGGAAAAAATTTCTGGGAAAATTTACGATACAACTATTGTAAAGCTGGACTATACCTTTATTACTATTAATTATCAAATATTTTAGAAGAAAAAATACTATTTATTAATGAAAAAATACGATATTACTATTGTAAAAAGTAAGAGATGAAAATTTCCAGTGCTGCCTCTGTATCTTTCCAATAGAACTATAGCAAATTTTACAATAGTTGAATTGGAATATCTCTCAATTAGTGTGAGTGATGGCCGTGCACAGCGCTAGACTCTGAGTTTATATAAATGTTAAAGAACATGGGTCTTAGTTTACCGCGGATAGCCTAAAGGGAGAGTCTCTGGCTACCAACACAAAGTTTTGGGTTCGATTCCCAGATATAAACTCGGAGTCTAGCGCTGTGCACGGCCATCACTCACACTAATTGAGAGATATTCCAATTCAACTATTGTAAAATTTGCTATAGTTCTTTTGGAAAGATACAGAGGCAGCACTGGAAATTTTCATCTCTTACTTTTTACAATAGTAATATTGTATTTTTTCATTAATAAATAGTATTTTTTCTTTTAAAATATTTGATAATTAATAGTAATAAAGGTACAGTCCAGGTTTACAATAGTTGTATCGTAAATTTTCCCAGAAATTTTTTCCCGTGTAGTTTCAAGAGTTCAAGTTTTGAAGAAAAAAAGTTTCTTGAATCAAGATTGTTCTTCTATCAGTGTGGTCATTAACGGATCTTAATAAAATTTAGTATTTTATAAGATACATATATTTTAAATAAATACTCGGGAAAAAATTTCTGGGAAAATTTACGATATAACTATTGTAAAGCTGGACTATACCTTTATTACAATTATTTATCAAATATTTTAGAAGAAAAAATACTATTATTTAATGAAAAAATACGATATTACTATTGTAAAAAGTAAGAGATGAAAATTTCCAGTGCTGCCTTTGTATCTTTCCAATAGAACTATAGCAAATTTTACAATAGTTGAATTGGAATGTCTCTCAATTAGTGTGAGTGATGGCCGTGCACAGCGCTAGACTCTGAGTTTATATAAATGTTAAAGGACATGAGTCTTAGTTTACCGCGGATAGCCTAAAGGGAGAGTCTCTGGCTACCAACACAGAGTTCTGGGTTCGATTCCCAGATAGCACGAAAATATTTGTTTCTTTTTTCGATTACTGTACAGGTACCAATTCGTGCAACCTTCTATCTCTCTCCCTCCTTAATATTTCTTTTAAAAAAACCAACTGTGAATTTTTACAATAGTTGAATTGTAAAGTTCACAAACACATATAGTCTAAGAGCCAGCTTAAATCTGACAACACATTCTTTACGGTATCTGAAATTTCGTCCAGTGAGACTTCTATACCCAGTAAACAAGCAATGGGTACTAGCTAAGCCCGGCCGCGGTAGGTTTGGGGTGCCTCAGGTGAGTCAGGTATGAAAATTAAGTAAATTTTTAAAGTATTTTACGGCGTCAGCCATTTTAATATATTATTTATTGAACTATTTTAAGCCAATATTAAAAATGGCTGACATTTTTTCCGGTTGTAACTATCCGGTTTACAGCGAAACATTACCTGCAGTCTATGCTTAGAAAACATGTGGTACAGTAAGAGTAGTAGTTTATGCTCTCTCTCTCTATCTCTTTAGTCAAACATTTTCTCCTTTTATGTTAGGGCTGAGTGGTGGGGATTTAGTTCCTTTTACGAACACAAAGGCACACCAGGCCCAACGGCTTACGGACAAATATATTTTAGTCAGTTGCATGTTGAAAGTATAGAGACATAATACTGTGAATAGTTTTCATTGCATTTATTGATTGTTAATTTATTTTCCATTACTTTTTCAATATGGCTGATAATTTAAAGTGTGTGATTTGTGCCTCGGAAAAAGACGAAAAAGTGCTTTTATTTTCTGAAGAAACTTTAAAAAGGTGTCAGCGTATTCTAGACTTACGAAAACATCATAACCTAAAATACAAAGATGTAATTTTACCTTCAGATCTTTATGACTGTGGATATCATCGCAGTTGTTATCGGGTTTTCACAGCTTTAAAGACGAAGTTTTATGAAAAGAAAGATACAAAAATAAAAGATGTTGCGCCTTCAACATCTCAATCTAATACGTTATCAACGGAATCACTATCTGCTCAGCAGCCGTCAACGTCAACAGACAATTCTATGATTGCTGAAACTGTGACTCAAAATGTTGATTTATCTATAGATTCCTCTGTACTAGACGAAGTTGTAATAGAGGGTAATGATTCTCAACTGGATACATCATTGGAAGCAGGCTTCGTTAAAGATTCTGATTTATTAAATTCACCGAAGATGTAGATGATTTGCGAGTAATCCATTCTAAAAGACGACGAAGACGATCTTTTGAAGCAATTGATCCGGAATTACCGTTCTTTCCTAAAAAAAGTAAAATGAGAAGTGGTTTTCAACCTGAAGTTTCTGAAAGAGAAGAAGAAAATATTGTCATCCATGAAGATCTGTACAATCGTATCGATACTGTTTGGATGCTTAGCCATGCTGTACATTTACCAGATATCCCAATGTGGGCAGGTTTTAACAGTGCTGTAACAAAAGATGACAGTCCTCAGCAATTAATTTCTTATCTCACTCCAATTAATGCATCTCCAACAGCTCACCCAGTAGTTTTAGAAACAATGGAGCAATGTATGAAAATTTTAGAAGAAATCAACCAACCTTACATGCAAGTAACATACGACTTGGCTATAGCAAAAATCGCTTTTCAAATTAAAGCCACTGAGACAAGTCCAAAATTTTCCAAGTTATTTATACATTTGGGTTCTTTTCACATCATGCTATCTTATTTTAAAATTATTGGGAAATTCATTGATGGTTGTGGACTGTCAACAATTATGGTTGAGAGTGAGTTGCTTGCGAGTGGGTCTGTAGCAAGTTTTTTAGATGGCAAACATTTTAACCGGTGTAAGAGGTTACATCCTATGATGGCCTTAGGATTGCAAATTCTTCATTTCCGATCTTTCTTGGAACAGGAAAAAATTGAAATAACTGATGATACATTTCAAGAATTACAAAGATTAAAATCTTGCCAAACACCAATATTTTTTATTCACGACGAAAAACTCAAAGAATTGTGTGCAAATTATGCTAAATTTGAGGAACAAACTCTCCATGGTGATTTTGGTAAAACTGCTCAGTTTTATATGGTGTACGTAAAGCTTGTACATTATTATTTAACTCTTAGCAGAAGTATTCGTTTGGGAGATTTTGAGTTATTCAAAAATATTTTACCTAAAATTACAAACTTATTTTTTTTATTTAATCACCAAAATTATGCAAGATGGACGGTTACGTATCATTACAACCTTATGAAAGTTGCTTCAACTCATCCAGGGCTAGAAGAAGATTTTAAAAAAGGGTTCTTTGGAATTAAACGTACGGGAAAACCATTTTCGAGGCAGCCGATTGACTTAACTCTAGAGCAAACGATCAATGCGGATGCTGCTAGGCGACTAACTGGAATCACTCATTTGACAGATTCCATCGCAGCTCGTCAACGTTGGGCTCGTAGTCATGATATTCGATCAACTATTATCACCCACGTTTTGGAAGAGATAGGCATTAATAAAAAACAAGATATTTCAGCAGAGCTACAGCCATCGAACATCAAAAAAAATTGCGAGCAACTGGAAAAGTTTGTAAAATCTTTTGATCAATACATCAATCCATTTAGTGCCCAGTTACCTCCGAATCAATTGTTTAACATATCATCTGGTAAAGCTGCTTCAACTCAAGTAGAAGACTTTCTTCTGAACGTTGAAAAGATTGGTGATGATCTTCGCAAAGCATTCATTTCTGAATGTTCATCAGATATTAACCGGTTTGATAAAGCAATCAAGAAAATACCAATTCACAATTTTTCAAGTCAGATAGAAAAAAAAAAACCGTGAAAGTTGGAGGAAAAAATCAAGAAATCAAAATACAGCGGGATTTATTTGGACGCATGTTGGGGCTATCAATGGACTATAAGATCGATGTTCTCAGAATTTTATCATATCCGATAACTCCTGTGCCTCTTTCTCTATGCCATTTGGACGGAAGAATTCACAAAACAGATAAGTCAGCGCTTGCTAAATCTCTTGAGGCAAAAATCGACCATGATCCACCAAGTCACGCTGATGTATATTTGATTGACGGTTTCTTTATTCTACATGCTATGAAAGAAGTACCCAGGACTTTTGGTAATATTTCAAAGAAATTTTTGCAAATGATTACTAAATTTTCAGCATTCAGAATAGATGTTATCTTTGATCAATATTGGTACCCTTCCATCAAAGACAACGAACGGAATCTTCGACATGAAGCACCACTAATTGATTACTCGATTTATGGACCAGACCAAATCAGACCAAGTGACTTTACGAAAGAAATGCGAAATACCAAATTCAAGGAAGCTCTTATTGAATTTTTCACTATACATTGGGCAACGGATGATGTTGCGCCGTTTATTGGAAATAAATTGATCCATTTGAATTTCAAAAATTGTTATTCATATAGATCCAATGACGGCAAAGTCAAGTCAAGTATCGTTGAAGATTTGTGTTGTAAATCTCATGAAGAAGCAGACAGTAAAATTATTTTCCATGCTTGTAGCATTATTGATCAGTCTAATATTGTTATTAGAGGTTCAGATACTGATATTTTAATAATCATGCTGGGCAACATGGTTAACTTGAAAAATCCTTCTTCTCACATTTGGATGCTAACCGGGACAGGAAACAACGAAAGGTTTATTGATGTCAGCAAAATATATACAGAACTTGGTCCACTTTTAGCTAAAAGCTTAATTGGCTTCCACGCTTTCACTGGTTGTTATTTCAATCCAGCTTTTTATAATCGGGGCAAAAAAAAACCTTTCACGTTACTAAAAAATAACGTTGAATTTCAAAAAGCATTCGCTGCTTTCGGTGACATTGGCCTGACTGAGGATACCATACGTGAACTGTTTAATGTTATCCAGAAGTACACTTGCAGTATGTACAATGCTAAAAAATCCATCGATGTTGATGATGGGAGATTTCAGCTGTTCGTCAATTCCTACAAGGCTGTAGATATGAACGAAAATTTTAATAAAAAAGTCCGGAGCTTTGATGCAAGTTTGATCCCTCCGTGTAAATCTGAACTGTACCAACAAGTTTTGAGAACGCATTATATTTCCAGCATTTGGAAAAATGCTCATGCGAATGAGCCCACATCACTGAATCCCCTTGAATACGGCTGGATGGAGATGGAAAACCGTTACGTATTTAAGTGGTTCGAAGGAGACCAACTTCCTTGCTTTGTCAGCGACTTGATTCTAAATCCTGAAGGTAATGACAGCATTGTAACATTTATTGTAACAGCATTTTAATTATCATAAGCTTATTTAAAAATTTGTATTTTATTTTTACAGAATCTGACTTGGAGGATGAAGATGACTTGTCACTTTCTGAAGACGATTCCGAAGATGAAAATTAATTATAAAATATTTCATGATTATTTCATTGTTATAGATTATTTCCAAAAATAAATATATTCTGATATGAATAATGAATATATCTAATTAATGTTTGATTTTTTTTTTTACATCTTTATAATAATTTTATATTTGTTAAAGCCTTATAATGAACCTTTTTTTCTTTATTATACACATTTAAAGTAGTAGATCGTTCGTTTCATTGTGTATTTATAAAATTTTTTACATTGACTAATATAATTTTAATGTTATATAAACTTGACGAATGTGAAAATTACAACTGTGGACATACATATGTACGGACTACAGGTAATGTTTCGCTGTAAGCCGGATAGTTACAACCGGAAAAAATGTCAGCCATTTTTAATATTGGCTTAAAATAGTTCAATAAATAATATATTAAAATGGCTGACGCCGTAAAATACTTTAAAAATTTTTTTTTTTCCGAATTTTGAAAAGTGGTTGCCAGGATGTTCCAACCTTCAAAATCAGCAGCCATATTTATTTTTCAATTTTTCTAGAGGTATATTATGACATATTAAAACGGCAGACGCCGTAAAATACTTTAAAAATTTTTTTTTTTCCGAATTTTGAAAAGTGGTTGCCAGGATGTTCCAACCTTCAAAATCAGCAGCCATATTTATTTTTCAATTTTTCTAGAGGTATATTATGACATATTAAAACGGCAGACGCCGTAAAATACTTTAAAAATTTTTTTTTTTCCGAATTTTGAAAAGTGGTTGCCAGGATGTTCCAACCTTCAAAATCAGCAGCCATATTTATTTTTCAATTTTTCTAGAGGTATATTATGACATATTAAAACGGCAGACGCCGTAAAATACTTTAAAAATTTTTTTTTTTCCGAATTTTGAAAAGTGGTTGCCAGGATGTTCCAACCTTCAAAATCAGCAGCCATATTTATTTTTCAATTTTTCTAGAGGTATATTATGACATATTAAAACGGCAGACGCCGTAAAATACTTTAAAAATTTACTTAATTTTCATACCTGACTCACCTGAGGCACCCCAAACCTACCGCGGCCGGGCTTAGCTAGTACCCATTGCTTGTTTACTGGGTATAGAAGTCTCACTGGACGAAATTTCAGATACCGTAAAGAATGTGTTGTCAGATTTAAGCTGGCTCTTATACTATGATTATCTTTAAGAATTTTAATACAATGATTACTCCGATTACTCCAGCACTGTCTGTACCGAATACCAAGAATCCTCCCCAAAATTTCTCCCGCTGTTTTTTCGCGAAATTTTCAATGTCTGCCTCGTCGATAAACTTTGCCATGGATATTTCCGAATTTCCTCAAATTTTCCTTCCGGTGGCTCCTCTTACTACGGTGTTTACTGTTACCGGTGTTTCTGCTGGTAGCATTATTCTGTTTCTTAATTTTCCAAGATCCTTTTCTGTATATATACTCGTTGCCAGATGTTTCAGATCTTCATAACTCCAAGTGGGTGTCGTTAATGGGCTTATTGTTTGTGGTCTGACAGTACCTTTGAAGTCGGGTTTCATTGAAATCCATGCTCCGTCTATTTCGTATCCTACTGCCAACAGCTGATTATAGTCACCATCGCTCCTTCTTTGATCAATATCCTAGACTTAAGAGTTAGAAACCAACTCTCGTTTCTATATTTTACCGGTAATTCTTGATAACAGTCCTGAGTCTTCCTTGATGTCACTTCCACAGCTACGCATTTTATTAAATATATTATTTCTCCGGCGAGACTAGCGTAGTATCCTGGGCCCTTCATTATAGCGTAGGCAAACTCTTCTGGTCAAGTCCCGAGAATATGATTGCATTGGAAATTACTTGTCTCTCCACTTCGCATTTATGTAGCAATATGTCCCTGTACAAAGCTTTCATTTGACGTTGGATATGTTTTTCTACATATATAAATTTTGAATTTATTGCAACGTGGCCAGTTGTCTCACATTAGGCTAACACCAATTTACCACCTGATGCAAATATCATCAGCAGATAAAATGTAAAATCTGATTATAAATTAGGCGATAATTGTTAACTATATCTTAATAGTACGAAAATTGTTTAAGAGTGGCGCTAGAACGTATCCCCACTTCTCAATGCTAATTAATTTACGCGGAAGCCGCGTGCATTCAGTCTTTGTTCGACCTTCATAATGTATACTTCTGTAATTGATATTTTTGTTAAAATATAATTAATTATTTTACACCATGTTACAACGTAATATTCGGTATTTTATTAATTTACACCGTTTATTAAATAATGACGGCATTTTAATCTACAATAATACGATACGACTCCGATTATCAGTTAACAAGGAGTATGTCGTACATTAATTAATTAAATCGACGCATATACAAGATAATTTCGCTTGGCATGTCGTGTACTCCTGAGGTCTCGAGTATTCAGCCATTTTGTTGAGAAAAGCGTCGTTTCATCGTTCGAGGAAGATCCTGGTTTGTCGGTCACCTTGATTAATTCGTCTGTTCCTGAATCAGTAACTGGCCCAGTTGCAGCCACGAGAAATCTACCACCGTTGGACAACGTTAACGCACACCGAAGTGGTAGTAGTACCTGTTCTAAATCAGGTGGTATATTGGTAAGAATTGGACGCGGTATTGAACTTACTTTGAGCTGTATTTTTCAATATTTGTATTTTGAAGACCATTTAGCTCTATTTTTCATACTCAGCGATCAGCGGAGTAGTACGCGGTAAAGATTGGGCTTGTGTCGGAGCTGAATCTATCTTTCAACGAGTATCGCCACCCACGAATTGTCCTAGACCATATTCCTAACGCAAATTAAATCAATTGATATTAGATGGCTAATTAATATGAGATGGTTGGCTGTACATGATTCATCTCTTATAATTTACCAAAACGCGTAATTCCTTTATTGGTCGATATACACTCTTCTTCCGCCGAGTCACATCTTAATCCGCTTCCTCCACGATAACTCCATCCCCGGTGCCAAATGGATCGCTGTATGAAACTCCTGTTCATTTCCCATCCCCTGTTGTTTTTCTTGGTAGCATGATAGTCCAAAAATCTGTACTATTCCCTTTTTTTTTCTTCTATAAATCCTGAATCGCCTATCCTTAACCTCCCATCTTCTTGTAATTTTTAGGTAAATTTCTTTAGAAATCAATCTATTATAGCCAGTCTCATGTCGTAATTGGATGAGCAGGATCAGCTGATTAGTTTACCAACGCGGAAATTATTAAAATGAACACTATAAATTTATTGACGAGAGTCACGGCGGGGTCAGTCCAGAGATTGATCCTGACATTTTCAAGCGACTGAACTTCCTTGAAATGAAGTATTAGTTGTGTAAGCAACAATGCAGCAGATAATTCCAAACGTGGAATTGTCATGGTCTTCAGCGGTACTACTTGCGTTTTTGAACATAAAAGTGAGACCTTTGTGTTCCCATCAGCGTCAGTGACTCTCAAATAAATAGCGGCAGCCATAGCGTGTTGCGAAGCGTCTGAGAACCCGTGCACTTCTATTGTTGCTCCAGGTGCAATATTATTTCAACGTGGAATGGGGATGGATTCGATGTTTCGAAGATCCTCGCGGTATCCAGTCCATTTGTGAATGAGTGATGGTGACAACTGTTCATCCCATGACACTCTATCTAGCCACAGATCTTGCATGAAGATCTTGGCTTTGACGACTATTGGTGCGAGAAGTCCTAGCGGGTCATACAGCTTAGCGATTTCAGACAAAATAGCTCTTTTTGTCTTAGGTGTCTCTGGCGGTAGCGTGTACTTGAACTGGAGAGCGTCAGTGTTTGAATTCCAGTAAATGCCGAGGGCCTTTACTGGTGCATCACTGATTTCTTTAAGCGGTGTATCCAGCTGCTTCTCTGGAGCAACTTCGGCGAGCAACCGTGGACTATTGCTACCTCATTTGGCAAGCGGGAAGCAGCCTGGTGCGCACAGTGCTTTTGTTTGCACTGCAACCTTTGTAGTGTCTTCTTCGTTGTCTGCTCCACTGTAGATGTCATCTACGTAGCGTGTTTCCAACATTGGAGCAACAGCTAGCGGAAAGCGGTGTTCTTCATCCTTCACTAGTTGAATGAGCACACCTACAGCGTCAAAAAGGTGCACTAGCAGTTCCGTAGGTGACTGTCTTGAGACAGTAAATGTCTACTAGGTCATTTTCATCTATCCAGAGAATGCACGGGAGCAGCCAATCATGCGAGTTGACCTCAATCTGTCTGAACATCTTGGTGATGTCAGTAGCGAATAGAATCCTGTTGCAGCGGATTCTCAACATCACGTCGAAAATGTCAATTTGCGTTTTGGGTCCTGCGTGGAGAATGTCATTCAATGAAATTCCTGTAGATGTTGCACTGGAACCATTGAACAATGTGTGGAGTTTCGTAGTGGCGCTATCAAGCTTCAATACCCCATGGTGAGGCAAGAAGTAAGCGTTTGCGGGTAAGTCTTAGACTGGAACTCGTACCATGTGTCCTAGTTGTATGTATTCTGCCATGACCGCGCGATATATATCAGAGTATTTTTTTTCTCGCGACAGGCGTGTTATTAATCTGCGGAGTGACCCCATGGCTGCGTTGATAGAGTCGCCAAGTTGAATCTCGGGGGCTTTAAGCGGTAATCTCAGTACATAGCGTCTATCAGGCTGTCGATAATGCGTTTGACGAAAGTGAACTTCACATTCGTCTTCTTCAGCGGTATTGAGCGGTGAATTACCTGATGGAACCTCTTCCTGTTCCCATCTCCATAGCGAGTTATTTAAGGCCCGAAGTCGAGTTTTCAGTCTTAATAAAGGCGGAAAGTTCAGCGTACCGGTGTACGAATGACTACCAGAAGCAGCACCCGATGTGCTCTGCGATGCTCCTGACACTCGACCCTTCCTAGCGATAATAAACTTCACTCTCACAACACAATTATTAGCGGTATAATTATTTAATTTAAGGAAGTCCTTTCGCTCCAGTTGAGTCACAACAACAAGTCAATATTCGATAAATTAAAATAAAAA